GCGCGTTAAACAAGTAGGTTTGATACTCAGTTTTTCTTCCATGTCTGCTGTAGTGGTGGTTGCTGGACGGGGTTGGTTCAGTGAAATAGTATGTTCTTTGTCAAGTTGTGCTTCGTAGAAAGCAGGCTTTATTCTATCGATAGCGATAGTCTCTTTCTTTCCACACTTGTTGATTATGAAGTGTTTGGTCGTTCTTTTAATTACTTGATATGGTCCTTCATAAGGTTGTTTCAATGGCTTTTTAACAGCATCAACTCGCACAAAGACAAACTTGCATGTTTCTAGATTTCTGTTGAGTTGTATTCGATTGTTATGTTCACGAGGCGATATGGCTTTGATTCGTTGCATGGTTTGCAGCAGTTGGCTAGCAAAACGACTTGGGTCCGTTGGTGTTAAAGTGTTTGGGTCCACTAGTTGACCTGGTAATGTAAGGGTTGTACCGTAAACTAGCTCAGCGGCTGTACAACCTATATCTTCCTTTATAGTTGAACGGATACCCAGGAGTACAAGTGGTAATGCGTCACTCCATTTTGTCGTATCATCTTGTGCCATCAGCGAGCTTTTCAATTGGCGGTGAAATCTTTCGACCAAGCCGTTAGCTGCTGGGTGGTAGGCTGTTGTTTTGATGTGGTTCACGCCCAGAAGTCTTGTGAATTCCTGAAATAAGATAGACTGAAACTGGGGACCACGGTCGGTAGTGACGATAGAAGGTACTCCGTAATTTGCTATCCAACGGTCAAGGAATACGCTGGCTACAGTTTCTGCAGAAGTATCAGCAATAGGGCATGCTATCGCCCATCTTGTGAACCTGTCCACCGCAGTGAGAATATGAGTGAATGAATTAGATGGTGGCAATGGACCAACTATGTCTAAGTGGATATGCTGAAAACGTTTTTCCGGCAGGGGATACTTGCCAACTGGACTGATCGTGTGCTTCTGAATCTTGCTGCGTTGACATTGTAGGCAGCTTCGCGTCCATCGTTTTATATCTGAATTGATTTTTGGCCACACAAAACGCTCAGTAATCAATTTGATTGTGGCTCTGATTCCTGGGTGAGAAAGGTCATGCAGTTGACGAAATACCTGTCGACGACATGCTAGAGGTACGAAAGGGCGATTGTTACCCGTTGAAACATCGCAAATGATAGATGTATTTGAGAAAGGGATGGGTACTGGTTTAAGGTTCAAGTTAGACTTCTCCTGGCAGACCTTCAAATCTGCATCGTCTACTTGTAGTTTTGCGATGGTTTCTAGATCGATGTCTTGTTTACGTAACAGGGTATTTACGTCCTTACGTGACAATGCGTCAGCTACGACGTTGGTGTGTCCTTTGACAAATTGGATATCTGTCGTAAACTGGGAGATGTAATCCAGTTGTCGTGCTTCGCGAGGTGAATGTCGGTCATACGATGTATGGAATGAGTAACATAAAGGTTTGTGATCGGTCATGATGGTAAAAGTTCGTCCTTGTAGTAAAAAGTTAAAGTGTTTAACGGCTAAGTAGATAGCAAGTAACTCCCGTCCAAAGGTACTATAGCGTTCCTGGGCTGGTGACAATCTTTTGGAGAAAAACGCTATGGGGGTAGTCATATTGTTTACCTGTTGTTGTAATACTGCCCCGACGGCTTTTTGAGATGCATCCGTACACAGAATTAAGTGGGTTGTGGGGTCAGTATTTATATATTGTAGCATGGTGGCATTAGCTATCATCGACTTTGCTTTTTCAAACGCTGTTTTGGCATCAAAAGATAGGTTGAATGTCTGACTCTTCTCTTTCTTCGTACCTTTTTTGTCGGTTTTCAACAGATCGGTTAATGGCTGTAATACTTCAGCACAATGTGGTAAGAAGCGGCGATAAAAATTACACATACCGAGGAAACGTCGTAATGACTTCACCGAGGTTGGTTCGGGATAATTGGTAATAGTTTCAACCTTTTCTGGGAGTGGTTTGATGCCTTGAGAGTCAATGTAATGTCCTAAAAACTCTAAGGCTGGGACTGCGAATATGCATTTCGAAGGATTGATGACGACGCCATGTTTTTTAAAACGATCAAAAAGGGTCTGGACATGTATGATATGCTCTTCTAAAGATGAGCTTGCAATGAGAACATCGTCGATGTAGGCAAACACAAAATCAAGGCCTCTTGTTACGTTATCCATGAAGCGTTGGAATGTCTGCGCAGCGTTTTTTAATCCGAATGGCATCCTTAGAAACTCAAACAAACCAAAAGGTGTTATTATGGCTGTTTTCTCAATGTCTTCCGGTGCCATTGGAATTTGATGGTATGCACGCACGAGGTCTAGTTTCGAGAAGATGCATTTACCATGTAAATTTAACGCGAAGTCATGTATATGTGGAATAGGATACCTATCCGGGATGGTTTGGTTGTTTAATCGTCGGTAGTCACCACACGGACGCCAATCTTGGTCCTTCTTAGGTACCATGTGTAACGGCGAGGCCCAGGGGCTGTTAGATGGTCTGATAATACCAAGTTGCATCATGTGTTCGAATTCTCTTTTCGCTACTTGCAACTTGCTTGGTGGTAATCTCCTCGCCCTGGCGCTAATAGGTGGTCCGGTGGTAGTGATATGGTGTTGTACCAGCTGTGGGTTACCTTCCTTTTGGTAATCTGGTTTCGTAATGCATTGGTATTCTGTTAGAATGTCGTTGAAGATATTGTTCACAGGTTTCATTATTCGAACACCATGGATCTCGTTGTCGTTGGAGAGTGTACAATTTACCTGTAAACGTGTGTTTATGTCGACTAATCTCTTGTTAGTCATATCAACTAAAAGGTTGTACGCACTAAGAAAATCGGCTCCGAGAATGGGTCGTTTGACTTCAGCAACTATGAATACCCATGTGAATCGTCTACGGAGTCCGAGATCTAATATAAGAGATTGTTCTCCATAAGTTTTGATAACTGATTCGTTAGCCGCTACCAAGGACAATTTAGTGCTTATCGCATGTTGTCTGCGTGAGAGATAAAGTGGGATGATGCTGATTTCTGCTCCCGTATCGACTAAAAAATCTGAGCCAGAAATACGATCCCTGATGTGGAAAAGGCGGCTGACATGTTGGCCAGTAACAGCTGCCGCTATTACTGTCTGGCCACTTCGTTTCCCTGATGGTCTGGCTTGTTTGCCGTGAAGTTGCACGGTTTTGTGCAACGACGTGCTTTCTCGCCATAATTCGAATGATACCAACACATTCCAGCTGCTCGCTTAGGTGACCTATGACGATGTCTGGATAATGATCTCCTTCTGGACCTAGATCTGGGGCGTCGAGAACGGATGGTGGAGATAGTCGCCTGCAGTGATGCTAGCTGACGTGTTAAGTGTGCCATTTGTTGCTGCATGTCAAGAGTAGGGTTCATAGCGTCTCTACTGGCGGGTTGTACTGCGTTAATTCCCCGACTATCGGGATATATTTCTATCATCTTATCGGCCATGTCTGCTAAATCATCAAGACTGACAGAGGCTCCTGATACGCTGAGAATTTGTCTGACGCTATAAGGTAACCTTTGTGACCACATCTGCTTAAGTAATGCTTCGTCTAACTTGCATGAACCTGCTAGTTGTCTCATATGTCTAAGCAACTGTGAAGGTCTTTTGTCCCCTAACTCGCATGCGGTGAGTAGTTGCTGTAAGCGTTTTTCATCAGACTGCGAAGTACGGTGGATTACTGCGGCTTTTATTTTGTCATATGGGTCCGTTTCTGGTACGTTATCTATCAGGTCTCCGACTTCTGCTGCCACTTCTATGGGTAATGCTCCAACAATGTATGCATATTTTGTCGCTTGCGAGCGTATACCTCTCGACAAAAATAATGCCTCAACCTGTGCAAACCAGATTCTGGGATTATTAACACCGTACGTTGGTAATCTTAGTTCCGAGATAGCGTTGATTGAGTTTAAAACATTATCCTCTAGTTGTGGAGAGTTTAGAAGGTTGGTCGGAGAACTATCAATATCAATAAGTTTACCCGGAGAGTTCATAATGACAAAAACAAAAATATGGTGTCGTGCCGATTAATAATAACAAAAACTTATGTAGATATATATAGTAAATGTCTATAAAAAAAATAATCGAGGCTCACCAAATAATTGTGGTGGACCAAACAATGTAAAAATGCAAAAGTATCAACAAAGTTAATAACAATCAATAGTAATATTAATATTTACAAGTTAAATGTTACAAATACAATAACAAATTAGGGACGTTACTTAAATCGGCTAGTCGTTGCGTGTTCTGTTGAGTTTTTGGTCTCAAAAATCCACAATTATAAATGCGTAATAATTCCACAGAGGTAAATATGACGCCAATAAGTTTCTTTGACGTAGGATATAATGGGAATGACACTGCAGTCTGAAATGAGGATAATATCCAGTTTAGAGCGCAATTGACTTGGTAACGAGCGACAATAGAACAATGGGTATGTGCGTAATAGTGTATTTGTGAACAACCGAAAATGTGTGTCACGCTATGTTCGAATTACAACGGAAAAAGTCCTCAAGGTCATTGACTAAAACAACACGTACAGTCATTTAATGATAAATGTACATACAGTGAAAAACTGACAAAACAAATAGAAATAACATTGAAAACTATTTACAAAATAAGCTTGTCAGTCATATCTCCACACTAACAATAACTGTGGAATAAGTTTTTACTGGCCTCAGCCACAAAACAGTTAACAGCTTGATTTCTCTTGAACTGAATCTATTGGTTTTTACTTGTCTTCTAACCAAGTTGCCTGAAATGACTGAGGATTAGGCTACATATTGTTCAATTTATTCTACAAGACAAGTTTAACTAGAACTAAGTTATTACTAAATTGTATATCACATAAGTTTACCCCACCTTATTTGTCGTGGTAAATGATTGTGGTGTGATATTTTTTGGTCAAACAATTTAGTGAAGGGTAAGAATATTTGTACTGATTTTAACTATTTTCGTCATTTTCTTATAGATTTGTACGAGAAATAGGAAGGATCATTATGGATTCTAAAAACCTGCCGTCAACATTTTACTTCAGGTCCGAATTGAGAATGCATCCTCCAGAGACTCCGTTGCATGTCACACAAGAAGCTGTTAGGATGTTAGAGGCTTACCTGAACATAAGCTCTCTTAGAAGGCAAAAAAATACTGAATCTGACAGTGCGTTTGTGTTTAATCCTTACAAACCTAATGATGTAATGACAGGAGGATCAAATGTTTACCATGATGACATAAGCGTACTGCCCCATAAAGATTACATAAAACATAATGAACTGTTAGGGGCTGATCAATCACCAGTAAGGAAAAACATTATTATTTTTATCACCTTGCCAGATTTGCGCATGTGCTAACTATGTTAACCAAATACTGAATATGTCTCTTGATAACAGAGAACGTTTAAAGAAGTTAGAAAAGATTTCTCCACATTTCGGTAATACGACAACACATCTTAAAGATAGTAGGTTCATATTTAATGAAAATACACTTGGTTATATGAAGCTATCAGTAAGCAAGTTATCACTTTTTTATGTTCATTCAAGAACTCAGTGTCTGTTGTGAACAAGATGGGCTCATGTATTGTGTGATGTCTGTAGGCAGTTTTCACTTATCTGTTGTTCACACCGTGTAAAGAAGCTTTTTGGAGTACCTATAAAAGAAATTTAGTTAATAGTGGCCTTGATGATCTATGATCATAAGCACTGTGTCTGAGGTAACTGTTTGAGTCTGGTTGCATACAGGTGAGTTAAAATGTACTGTTTTTACTGTCAACCTTTTCTGACCCTTCCTTCTATTGTGGAATGGCAGCGTCTTTAGAGATGCTGGTCATTCATGCGTAACACATTACTGATATTTCAAGCCAGTACGATGGGCAGTAAAGATTGCCCAGTATACGTTATACCGGCTGCAACCGACCATCCTTAGATTTAGGTGTTAAAGCCAATTTGGTTTAACTTGCTCTTCAAGATAGGCAAATCCAGTCACATCAAAGTGGTAGCTACAGCCAACAATAAGTATTTTTTAAATCACATTATAAAAAGCCTTAGACACGTGTTTGATGCTCATTGGAAGCTGAAGCTGCAGCAACGTTTGTTGGTTAATGCTGACGTAAGTGAAACAAATGCATGAGACTTCTTTTCTGCCTTAAAGTATCAGTTGCACAGCAAAACATTAGCAAGTTTCCAAGCTTGATAACTGTTTGGTAAACCTCATTGATTTTACTCGGCAATCACTGAGAGTTGGATTTCATGACATGAGTGGCTTTCCCCAGTGAGTGGATTCTGTGCTGCAGAATATTTTGTTACAAATTCACATATACTATCAGACTTCGGGTGAAATTAGAAAGAATCAGCTTAGCAACAACTGAACTGCATAATTGGTGAGCGGCCACTAAGCAGTTAAAAATACACAATAGATTTGTGCTAATCAAAGACATTACCAATTAATTGTAACTGTCAGAGTTTGATTTGATATTACGTATACTGTAGCCTTTCTTTAATATCTACAGCTATTAGTTAAGTCTTTGTTCAAGGCGATTTTACACAGAATAAAGTCAAAATTCACTTATTATGCAACATTTATAATTTGTAATCAAAAAATAAAAACTATTATTGCATCACTATGCCACTAATTAGCGTGTTGAACTTCAAGAAAGTACTACCAGGTTGATTCTTCCCACTTTAGTAAAAATTAAAACTAAAAAAGTATTTACCCGATAAAGTTTGTATGTTTTCTTTTTTATAACTTTAGTTAAAAGCTCTGCTTAAATGCACTGTGATAAGACAAACAAACAAGGTAATACGCTACCCGTCGCTCCAGAAGTATTGGAAAATTGTTTAAAAACTACTCAGTTTCATTGAGGTTATAATTGACTTCAAGTATCATCTTCATAAAAGTCAAATGCCATTAGATAAAAGGAGGTTCAGATTTAAAATAACTAATTTATATGCCTTACAATTTTTATGAGAAATAGATTGCTAAGTTTGTTTTTGGTGACAACTCGTATAGTAATAAGTAAACGTATGTTTACTTTAAAGCTCCACATTGTTTAAAGATGAATCCTAATGCAAGGGATAGTAATTGGACTTAATGCCACAAATATCGCCAAACTCTTCAAAATTAATATGTAGTTGTAAAGAATGTTCCTGATCAGTAAAGTAATTCATTTTATTTATTATGATAGGCATAAAGTTTATTTATATTTCAAATCAAATAAGTTGTATTCTGCATGAGACAAATGTTAATTTACCCTATGAATTTACTGTAATAAAAATCTATAATCGTACGTCCGAAACATTGATTTTGAAGGCTGATTTCCATCAAACATGATTGAAATATTCTGAAAAGAATTGACTGTTAACTTACATAATTTTAGATTAAAATGTTAGTCATTCGGTTTAGTAGAATTCATGTTCTCATTTATTAAAATGATAAAAACACGGAGTTTCAGGTCTAATTTTTACATTCTCATTATTTTTAGCTTGTTCATTTAACTGTGAAATTATTCCTAATAAAATTCCTCTTCAGTCAATGAATGGATCATTTGCACAGAAAACAAAAATAAATGGATTTTTTCCTCGTTTTGACAATGTTGATGGTCTTAGTGCTAAATCTCGACAGTCTGATTCACTATATAATTCAGTTAGCATAGAACCAGTCAGTCCACCAGTGTTTGAAATACCAATTCAAATACCTGATATAAAAACTGGCAGTTCATTGTCCAAGAGGTTTGTAATGAAAGACGATTCTGTATCTTCATCGATCATGCGCTATCATAGTGTATGCAGTGGAAGTGCAGAAAAAACTGACACCATACCTGAAATAGAGGAATGGTCAGCAATCGAAGTTAACTCTCATCATAAAGAATATACTCGACGTTCCAGTGTTAAGTCAGCCCCTGAAGACGTACAACACTGTTTGCGCATAATACCTAAACGAAGTGCTACCAAAAAATGGTTTAAATTCCGGCTTCTCAAAAGCGGTTTTAACTTAAAGTCTCACATTGGAAATAAATTATCTACAGCTAAAGAGGAAATATTCGAATTAAACAGTGTATTTATGGGAACTAGTTCTCACGAAAAAGCATCAACTCTAGAAAAAGAATATAATGGCTGTGCTGAAGTCAATGGTACCCTCTTTCCTCCAATACCCAACAGAAAATTGAGTACAAACATCATAAACAAACCAAATGAAAGGCTTCATCATCCAACACTTACCAATGTATGTGCTCAGTTATTCCCCCGATTATTTCGTCAGAATGAATCTTCGTCTAATTATTTATCAAGTGGTTTTTTCCCTAGAATACAAAGGCTATCCACAAACACTATTCGTCGAGTAAAGCGAAAAAAACGCACTGTTAGGAAATTGGATAAAATTTCTACTCAAGCTTCTGTAGAAGAACAAGAAGAAGAGGTAGGGTTTCTCATCTTTTGTAACGTTAGGTTTCATTGTTTAAGTTCTGAGATATTCTGTACATCATCTTCAAATGCTACTGCTTATTGTCTATTTGGTAAATAATCTCAAAGTAATGTTAGTCGATGGAACATAGTTTATGTCATAGCATTCCACCAGCTACATCAAGGAATAATATTAAATAGCATAGGAATATGTTGGATAAAATTTACTGACAGCTAGATCAAAATATATCATCAGACCATAAAATTATAGTTTGTTAAGCAGATTAATGTGTAAATGGAAGTGAAGGCTCTTGCTTATAGTCGTTTGAGATAATTGTAATTCTTAGATTAAAACCTGAGGTTCAAAACTAGCAACAACATTAATGATGTATTTGATTTTTTTTCATTTTTGGGACCTTAAACGTAACATAATTCATTCTTTAACGTCATTAGTTCCATATGAACTTAAATCGTTTTATTCAACCCCCCATTATCATTCATATCGTTATTTCAGATTCTTGACCTTCCACCTTGATTAATATAAGTCATTTTCCACTTGAGCCGATATACATGTGTGTAAGGTTCTATATTGTTGATGACTGATAATGTTCGGGTTACTTTACTGAATAATATGAGCACTTGGTTACAACTAGTTTATTGTATCATCTGATAAACTAGTGTTATAAATATATGGCTTGATCATAGAAAATGTAAATTGGATATAAAATATCTTAGATATCTACCTAGTTGTTACTATCATATAGTTGGTTTTTTTACGATAAATCGTAGAGATTAAAAACTAGCATCCACTAGTAAGGTGCGTAAACACAGCCTGGAAAATGTTATCCCGCTCGTAAAAAGACAATATCCTACCATTAGATAATTTGTAATTCTATCAAATACCGTTAAACTTAAGGCTTATCAACCCATAAATTAGCTATCATAAGCATAAAGAATAGAGGAAGTAATCTAAAGTGACTAATCTTCTAAGAAGTCAGATTCAGTATATTAGTTAATTATCCTAATATATCTCTCCTGAACTGTCTAATAAAACGTTTTAAGAGATCTGTTGGTACTAAGTAATCGATACATTTTGGCAATTAAAGTGACCCATTGTATCATTCAATAAAAATAAAAAGGATTCAGCGAAGAAAATCTTTTCTATGAAGTCATATACCTAAGCTGTACATTCGTATTTGTAGTTGTTTAATAAATGTGAGTCTATAGATTGGATAAAAGAGGTCTCATCATAAAGTGGTCCGAGATTTAAAATAACAAAAGCAGGTTGCGTAATGGTCAATACATTTTGAATAAATCTTTATTCACACAGATACCTTTTTGGACATGAATATGATAATTCACTGACAAAAACTTAAAACGTTTGGTCATTTGGTAATTTACCTAGAAAATAAACGAAAAAGAGCCAAGAGAAAAACAGAACAAATTAACCAATGTTAGTTACTTTCAAAAATAAATCATCGGTACTATTTGATGATACAACATAAATGGATCAGCACCAGTAAGGTTTCTTTTTCCTAAATCAAAGCTTTTTAAATTTTACCGACATACTTTGTTGTTTACGTAATCTTCTCATTGGATACCTTTCAACTTTCCACAAGTTTTATAGGTGATACAGCCCCGTTTATATTTTCAGATAATTCGTGTGAAAATGTTCTCTCACGAATGAACAAAGGATTAAGTAAATTATATTTGAGTCAGAGCATATCGTAAAAAGTAATTAGTCAGTTTTAGGTATTCATGCATCCCTAAACTAATTGTATCCGATATATTTCTTTTTCTCAATGTAGAGTGAATTGTTTTAGCTTTCTTTTATTAACTGTTATGACTAAATATCTATTTAATCCATTCACTTGTCTAGTTTCGCTTATTACCATTATATACCAAACGGCGTTCATCAAAATTCTCTCATCATGGGAATGTTGGGTTAATTAAAAATAAAAGGAACTTATTAGTTAAAGAAGTAGAGTATAACTTATTGAACAGATCAAATCACTCATCGGATAAAGAATTTTTAGAAAATGACTCGTTTAATACCCCAATAATGAATTCCAAAACATGGCCAATCGGTTCACCTAGCTCAAAGGTATCTGGCGAAATTGCTTGTCTTTATCGTGGATTGATCGAAACAATAGGAAGCGATAAATTGATTGAATCTACTTCACAAACATGGAGTCATTTCACTCACAGAAAACCTCAGTCTTCAGATAAAACTAATGTACCTGTAAGTTTTTCCGTAATTATTTCATTATGTGGTATCGAATGTTACTGAACCTTTCCTCCCACATTTTTATCCCATCTGGTTCTGCATTTATTGTTTATCTTTAGTTTGAATATAGCTGAATCTACCATTAATACTATTGTTGCTGTTACCAGTTGGCTAATCAGGAATTACTCATCCGATAAGAAATGAAATGTCAAAATGCACTTGTTATTGATTTGTTTATTTTTTGGATGGAAAAAATCTTCAAATGGTTAGAAGTTATAAACCATGTGCAGCATTTTTATATTATTGTCTTTCATTCTAATAGCGTCACTCGTATCCTAATCTGTCTTTCAATAAGTAATCCATCCTTTATTTTTAACTGATTCATTTTAAAGCACTGATGCGGCTTGTCTATATCCGGTGACAACTAGCATCGATTTGTCTACAACATATATCTCGTTCACCTTTTCTCGTCCTAGAGCCGTTTAATCCTATCAACAAATCTTTCAGGGGTGATTTATTGAAAGATAGGTGTCGTGGAGATTCTATATCCACAGGTTAAGGAGGTTCAGACCAACAACGACGAACTGATGATATTCTTCGATGTGACAGCCTCTATGCACTTCAATCGAACCAAGCTTAGCAAAGGAAACTCTAACTCTGCTCCTCACCGATGATATGAATCTCCAAAAGTACTCGAAGCTTCAACGCCAGAGTTTACTAGAACTCATCGATTAATGCTTAACAACATATTCTCAACTCAACAATATAATTTACAAACAAACGAGAGGAACACCAATGGGATCACTAATGTCAGGATTTATTACAGAAGCAGTGATGCCGAGACTGTAAGCCTCGATATCACTGGTGATTAAGCCAAAATGTAGATGTTGTATTCGTCATCGATGAAAAGGATGAGCTGGAAAGCACCTACAACGTCATCGATGACATAAGATGATTCACAATGGAAAATGATCCGAACAGATACCTATCATTCTTAGATGTATTAATCACTAAAACCGACAGAGAAAAATTAGAGACTCAAGTATATCGTTAGCCGGTTCACACAGATCAAATTCCCAATTATGGTAGTACCAACCCAAGAGCTCAAAATCATTTGCGTACGAACTTTATTAAAGAGATCGAAAACACATTGCAGCACTTGCAGCGCAGAAAAATGAGGAAAAGTATACAATTACGTTATTCCGAAAGAACAGCTACCTAATGAACACCAAAAAATATCAACCAGACGCATTAGAAACAAAATTAAGTAGAGAAACCAACAAACGGATAATCCTAATATATATCAAATACATATCAGAAATTACATCGAGATTGTTGAAGCCGTTTGGAATAGGTGTAGCACAAAAACCAAAAAATCACTTCAATCAATCCTATGCAAACCAAAAGACGAAATGACAAAAGGAGAAAAACCGAATATCTGCAAAATAAACTGTTCCAGTAGTGAAAAACACTACATCGAACGAACTGGACGCCCCCTTCATCTTCGCCTGCATGAATATCAATTAGCTGTCAAGATCCATGACATATCTCCTCTTCCATCAATGAATGTGGACAAACATTCAACTGGAAAAAATGTTGAGATCTTGGATACAGGTTTGGACCTCAGGTCAATCGATTAATCAACAAACACATTGAAATCGATCCAATTTATCAACCAATCAGAAAAATTATGGACAAATACAGGACCAAGAATCATTTGGAGATACAATCAAAATAGATGGTGATAGATTAAAGGACAACAAAAACTGATCAAGATCAAGGGTTACAGGAAAGCTGTATCATATGTGGAGAAAAAAGAACACACTAATTCTACCTGAACTTTGTGCTGATGATATTGGTCTGAGGAACAATGAAAGCTCCATGACCAAATCATATAGGTCAGATGACAAAACTCCACCTAAATCAATTATGCTCTTGGTTTTTCAATATTTCATCAGTTCATTGCTTTTGTGATGATAGCCATTTCGAGAAATGTATGTTTGTATAATTCAGTGTACGGATTTTTTCTTGCCAAGAATATGGTTTTAGGAAATAACCAGCTTTTCAGGAGAACGTTTAGCGTCGTCAGACAGAATGATGTTAGATTGAGGTTTTAGTGTTAATGTTTCTCTTTGCTTACTGTATTAACATATTCGCTTATTGAACAGAAGAAGGAAATATAACAACCCACGTGCAATTGAATATGTTCTCATTTAACTCAGTTAAGCCCTTTTGTTAACTTATTTAGCGGACAAAGTCATCCGTACTATAACAACTTATTGTACCTTTATTATTGTTGTGCTTGTATGAAATATGTATGCTTGAACATTGCTTACTGCCTACGCATATATTCATTCTGCTAACTTTATTATTAGCTGCTTAATTGATTCGATGATCCATACATTTAACACTACACTCTCGGTTCGCTGAATCATTCGTTTGCCTCTCGGCTTTGTTGTCTGAATTATCTACTAATAAGGCTTTAGTCGCTGCTTCTCTTTGCCTTCTGATTTCAAACACCGTTGAGGATTATATGATAACGGTAACGAGGGTGATTGGTTAACGAAGCACAGCCACTACAGAAACATTCTATTCAAGTGTTTTGTACAGTCATATGGCAATGTGAATGTTATAGTAGAACTGCATCTGTCATCTCACCCACTCTATTTTCATCATTTTTTTAAGCAAATTTATTTTGAGTTTACTATTTAACGTCAGTCACACTTCCCGTTACAAGGCATTTGTCTTGCAGTTGTGTTTATGCTGTTATTATTATTGTATATGCTGCTTGATTGTACGATTTAGCTAATAATAGTCAGACTGTGCGTCTAAAGATAGACATATACTTCTTAAATTTATCTAACCTGTTTTGTTTATGAATTTATTATTTTCATCAATACACTACAGTCGTGTGCATGGGTTATGAGTCATAGCATTTTTATATTATATCAATGCAGTCTAAATGTGAAGTTTTCCTTTCCAGCCAGCCATCTTAACTATGACTTTCAAAATCGATTTGATGTGATAAACATACAGGCACACAATAAACCCACTTACTAAAGAAATTGTCATACTTTGGACGAACTATAACTCGTCATCATTAGTGATTTGTGTAGAAATATTTTTTGAAAGAACGTTGATATTTAGAAAATCATCACGTGAAGTCTGTTTGGACGTTTCCCGGTACTTCCAGCGAAGAGCGATGCACTTGCTTTTGAATTTTAATGGCTATTAGGATGTAGAATAAAAATTACAAAATGCTTTGAATATCCGTCTTGCACTTAAATGAAATATAATAACTTATCCCATTTAGGGCTGTAATTTTTCGTGTAGCATAGGCCGCCCACCAGCGTTCTCCATCAAAATATATCATGGAAAATCCTTTCCAGTTGTTTCCAATTGATATTGATTCTTTCGATGTCTGCTTCCGATTCTCGGGGCAGTGTGTTTCTTAGTCTTCCTCTTCCCTTCAGGATTCCAAGTTAGCACTCGCTTCGAGATGCATTTGGTGATTTTCGTAATGTATGTCCTGTTCACCAGAAACGTCTTTTCTTAATCTTCTCTTTACCCCGAAGCTGGTTTGTTTGCTCCTACAGTAGACTGTTGCTGGTGGTATTCGGTCAACAGACATTGATTACCTTGCGTAGACAATTGTTTATATTTACTTGTACATTTTTGCTGATGGTTGTGGTAGTTCTCGAAGTTTCGGCTCCGTACAGTAGAACTGTCTTGACGTTCGTATCAAGGATTCTGACTTTGGTGTTGGCTGACAGTTGTTTTGAGTTCCATGTGTTCTTCAGTTGTAGGAATGCCACCCTTGCATTGTCAATCCTTGTCTTTACATTTGTATCAGATCTTTCTTGTTTATCGATGATGCTGTCCAGGTATGTGTAAGTTTCCACCTCTTCTACAGCTTCTCCAGCAAATGTGATTTGGTTGGTGTTCTCTGTGTTCTATTTAAGGATCTTGCTTTTTCCCTTGTGTATGTTGAGGCTTCTGCTACACTGGTTGTCTTCATCTGCATTTTTTCGTGTGTATGAGATAGAAGAGCTAAGTCATCTGCAAAGTCCAAATCGTCTGGTCGCATACGAGTTGTCCATTTTATTCCGTTCTTCCCCTCAGATGTAGAGGTCTGCATAATCCAGTCGACCACCATAAGAGAAAGAGGGAGATTAAGCAGCCTTGTCTGATTCCAGTCCTCACTTGGAATGCGTCTGTCAGCTGTCTTACATGCACGGCTTTTCAGTGTAGTCCGTCGTGTAAATTCCGTTTGATGTTGATGATTTTCCCAGGCATATCATAATGTAGAAGAAGGCTCCATAAGATTATACTATCCACACTGTCACACAATTTCGCATAGTCGAAGAAGTTTATGTGTAGTGACGAATTTCATCCAACCAACTTCTCAATAACGATCTGTAGTGTCGCCATTTGATCTGTGCACAACTGATCGTTGCGTAATCCAACCTGTTCATCTCGAAGTTTGGCGTTTACTGAATCTTTGAATTCGTACACAGGGATTTTAATGTAATTTTCGAATTTTTTATGAACAGTGTGAAGTAAGTTTTTGTTTTTATCTTTATTGGATAGTCTTTCAATTTGAATTCAGTTATGGTTCAATGCGATAAATCGAATAAATCTACATTTGACTTTACAATCAATGATTTATCTACAATGCAGCATTGCACTATTGATCATACAAAAGTTACGGATGAAATAGTGTCAGGTAGGGAAGCGACTGATGAAGCATTAAAAATACTGCCATCAGTTCTAAACCGAATCAAGCAAATAAATCTTCAACAAAAAGTGAACTATTTGTAAGTAATGCTTTTTTTCCAAGTATTTTCTTTATAAATGTTTCTTCAGTTCTACTGTCCCAACTGTAAGTAATTCATTGAATTGATGATTTTATTTGTCTTAACAACGGGCGAAATTGGCTATGGCACTGGCTTCTTAAGGTTCTACCGTCCCAACCAAGTGTGTCATTCATGTATATATATATTCATTTAACGAATGGTCGACTATTTAGTAGTAAATTGTGAACACTCAAATATTTGTCGATCGTGTCTGATATCTGACTCTCCTTATGTATTGTAAATATTCTCCCTTTTTGACGTATGTTTAATAGGTCAATTAACCATACTGAACTAGTCTTATAACAATTTATAACCAATATTGTTTATATATGTATGTAATAACTAATATTCTGTAGTGAATAAAAACAATTTAATTGATATCAGTCATTTAGTTGTGATGTTCATTATTTAGCACGTAAATGGACAGATAAATAGTGACAAGTAAACAAATAAATTAATAACGACAAATACTGAGATGTTCAATACATTTATCGTAAAGGAAATTTATTTATGTATTCTTGGTTTATGTTACTTGGATTTTGTAACCGGTAATTTAAGAATGTTGCCAAGGGAACCTTTATATTTCCACAAAATATTTTATTAAAGGGAACGAATGTCATGAATCAGGGTTGAGGGTCACATCGGGCTAATAGTGCACATTCTCTGGTTTTAACTACTTGTGTTGTGGGTTCTATTTGATCGTAGATTTTATTTTTTTGTCTTATCTGGGTACTCAATCGACTTGATGTAATTCAAATTGTGGTCAAATTAGCTGAAAAATATGTTCCACTTAATCAGTACGCGTAGATACCCCAATTTGATTGAGAATTGTTTAATACGACTGTCTGAAGTAAAGATAAAACCAACTTAATGTACGGGTTAATTTTTCTGTCGTTCCTAAATCGTTCGGGATAGGATTGTGCACGCTCCTATCGTATCAATTAATATTAAGATAATCATTATTCAGCATTCAGAAGTTTTACTTTCATTATCGAGGTGAAAGAAGTAACAAATGCCGAAATTTTATTTATTATATGATTTAGCATCGAGTATGCGATTCATCAGTCAGTTTATTCTACCTTCGGATTACAAGGCGTAACCGCTGAACACATAAGATCTGATAGAGAAATATATATGCGATAGCTGATCCATTTACACCACGGATCTCGTTTTTGATAACAAAAAACCCAGTATATGACCAATGCTAGATGTACTGGTTGAAGCAGACCAGAATGTGTAGTATTGCTTGTAGGAAAAATGTCTCTGAATCAGGTTAATGACTGCCGATGTAGACTGGTTATCGAATCTGAGCATACTTCTTGCATCTATTACTAGAAGAATTGACATTATTTTTACTTTGCACCTGAAATCTAAAAATTCATCAATGAAGTCTAAGTATCACTTGTCTTTACCTTTCACTTTCCTCTTGTCTTTGTCTTTTTCTTTTAGTATATCAAAGTCCATCTGGATAGATCTTGATAAATCTTATTTACGTATTAACAATCTTCCTCTTATTATAAATTTTCAAACTAGGTTTGTTTATCTGGTCCTATCTGTAAAAAAACTAAGACAAACTCTCGACATAATTGATAATGTGGTATACTCATTCTATTTTTGACACATGTTGTCGACATGTTTTTGAAATTTCAGTTCAATAAAGTAACACAAAATCTCGAAAACTGTGCGGTGAGGAATTCTTCAAACAGTTCTGAACTTCAAAATGAATTAAAAGTAGAAAACTTCAATCATTCATCAACAAATGACAATACACACTATCCATATGCTAAATACGTTGCAGCTATGATTGATGCTTTGTCTGAACGTCTTATGGGGAAAATATCAGAAGATGATTTAGAATTACGTTTTCAGACTTTAGAAGCAGAAGCATCTAAAGCGGCCAAACACAAAAATGCTCAGTTTGTTAAACGTGAACGATTCTACTCGGTTAGTAATGGAGCTGAGAATTTACGTTGTCAGAATTCCTTAGAAAATACAACACGGGGTAATTCATCATCAGATGAAAATATATTCAATAACATAACAGAAAGAAATGAACTAAAGAATAGACGATGCCATTCTGTAACTAATTTTTTTGCTACGACAAAATCATCAGACTTACATAATGCATCATCATTAGAATCAAGCCAACGTAATTTGAAATATTCTTGTTTAGAACAGGTGAAACGATTACAACTTCGAAACAAAGTAAAGTGTTATTACAAACCATTATTCTTTATCAAAATTTTATACATGTTAACTTCTATGCGTTTATATACTGCCCATTCATAAATCTGAGTCTTTTGAGCTAAGAGGTTGTAATTTGTAGTGTTGTACTTTAGGTACGATTACAACAATTTACTATACTCTTGTGTTCATATGACTGAGGGCCTGGTATTCATATTCTTTCTAGTCAGTCAATTATCATCCACGTAGATGCTAGCCCAAAGTTTGCACACTTCATTATCACGATGAGATAAATTTAACACGATGAATTGTAAAAAAGATCGGAATAATGTAGTTGAAATAACAATCAAAAAGACTTGGCTTTGAGGATAGGGTATGAGAAAATAGTGGAAAGATATATATATAGTTTCGAATGAGTTAGCGTCTTACTGGTAAACCTTACCACTGGAGACGAGAATCCGTGGATCAGAGTGAGGTTTGACATGTGTAGGATCGACCTTCTTCAACTTCTTCCGTCGTGAGAAGGCAGGATTGCCACAGACGCTAGTTGTCTTAGAGAGACACCTAATCGCTATCATGCCTCTTTATGCAGTCGGCAGCACAACTTTACTATCAGATTACGAGTTTAGTACTTTTTGTCTTACTGCTCTCCTACCAACCTGCTTGGCATGTTGAAGCATAGAGGGACGAGTGTTCCAGCCAATCTAACCTAATTTAGTGTCCGTATCGTGCAAGCCCGACCACCAGGACAACGTATCCGCTATGGATTATTTCTAGTGTTCGATTACCTAAAAATATAATTTGTAAATTTGAGATATTTCAGTGAAGAAATTTTTCAGTTGATCAATGTGGTCGTATAAATTCCTCTATTAAGTGGCAAAACACTTCTAACGCTTACTTCGAGGTCCAATCCTAGCTGGAGTACGTTGCGAGAAAGTTTAGGCTAGGAAAACGAAGGTGGATCAACAGTCCACGAAGTCATAAACTGTTAAACAAACAGTACCTCTAAAAGCATATTCCTTGTTTTGAATCCCCAACTTTCACATATCAGTTGATATAGTCCCATATCGGTTATATTAGCGCATATGTATTTGGTGCTTCCTTGTACCAATGTTTGTGTTTAAATGAATTTAGTCATCTTTCATACATTTCATTCGTTCTTAAACTACTATTCTGATGCTGAATTCGCGATTACGACAGACCTTGTTTTGTACTCCACCTCTCATCATGTTAGTCATTTTTTTCATCTGACAATTGGGTTTTTTGAACTGACAACTATCCGCAGTCTTATATTGTCTATGAATAATTAAAATAAATAATAATATCTCTGTTCATTACGGTTATCGAATTAATACAATTAAAGAACAGCGAAAAAAAATAATACAAAATGGAGTATTTATTTATTAAAAATATTTACTTGTTTCAAGAATCTTTACTCGTGAACAGGTTATAAAGTTGCTGTCATTTCATAAGTGGTAAGTAGGTGTACAAACAGTCGGTTTTCACAATATTATTCTTTAAGTATTATTGTTAAACGTAAAAAATATCAATTTGTTTTAATAGTCAATATATAAGTCGATTTAATCTTCCATTGTTTAACCATTTCAGATTTGCTATCATTGCTATTTACTAACTATGTGGTATTTTGACATTAAATGTGTTAGTCATGTAGCAGGTCTTAAATATAGAAGTGTGCATATTTTGAACTGTTTGTACAGACTATTTTAGTTGTTATTCTACTTGGAACGTCCCAATTAGATGCGAACTTTATTTCTGATTGACGATCCAACTAGTTTGTGGAAAATAAAACAATGATACATTAATTTTACCAGTCAAACTATGGTGAAAATGAAAAACAAGTGTAAACTAATTATACTTACTTACTTACGCCTGTTACTCCTAATGGAGCATAGGCCGCCGACCACCATTCTCCAACCCACTCTGTCCTGGGCCTTCCTTTCTAATTCCCTCCAATTTTTGTTCATTTTTCTCATGTCTATCTCCATTTCCCGGTGTAATGTGTTCTTTGGTCTTCTTCTTTTCCTTTGGCCTTGAGGATTCCATGTGAGGGCTTGTCTTGTGACGCAGTTGGGTGCTTTCCTCAATGTGTGTCCTATCCACTTCCAGCGTTTCTTCCTAATTTCTTCCTCCTCTGGGATCTGGTTTGTTCTTTCCCACAGTTGGTTGTTGCTAATAGTGTCCGGCCAACGGATCCGAAGTATTTTGCGTAGACAACTGTTAATAAACACCTGTATTTTCTGGATGATGGCTTTTGTAGTTCTCCAGGTTTCCGCCCAAACTAATGATACAGTAATAACTAAAGGTCTAATGTAATAGAGAGAACAACTCAAGTTAGAATGATCAGGTTTTTAAAATATTTAGTAGAATAATGATTCAGTTTGATTCAGTCAATGTTCTCGATTACGAGTCGTCCAGTCTTCCGGATGAACGAGCCCGTGTAATTTAAATTAACAATTAGAACTTTGTTCATTTAAGTTGTATTTCGTTTTGTCTGCAATCGAACTTGTAACCCATTTTCATTCTAGGCAAAATTTCACATTCAGCCAAACAAAAGCGTGGCATAATTAACATATTTTATAACTGCTAGTCTGTCAAGCCCATTGTGTATTTTACTTCGCTTACTGAAAGTCTACCATTGGACCCCAGGTTGTAAAAGATGGATTTAAATTATGATCTATGTGTTATGTACAATATCTGATTGATGTACAGAAAGAATAATTGATGCTAGTGGGCGTTGTTGTTACCCTTAGGTGATAATTACGTTTGGAAACAAACTCTGTACTTCGAAACATCATGTTATTCTTTGATACTCCCATTATATAACTGCTATATTAGAAGTTTGATGGAATTTTTACTTCGAACTTGTCACAACTAGAGAATCATTTCAAACTCATGAGTCTTGCTCAGCCATTTTATCGTAGTTTGATACACTTCAACGGTGCACAACATAACTACAAATGATGTACGATGAAACCTTAGTTTTTTCATCGAAGACGACACCTTGGAACCAATATTTTTGAGTTTAGTGTTTCTCACCGTCAGTTTCAATCAGATTTTCGATACAGCACAATACTCATTCAGTTTCATCGCTGGATGATTTCACAGATCATCTCAGAACTAATCACCAGTGGGTAATACGTTGATTACTTAAGTAATTTCGTAGGAATTGTTTTACAATTTGAGAGTGATTTTTATCACTAATTGATGCTAGCTAATACATTAAGTAAATCAAACTTAAATAAATCCTGCTGTTTTTTAAAGTCATTAGAAAACAAAGCACTTCTTGTAATCTAATAGAAAATATGATGTTATTATAGATACCTGGAATTTTTGGTGAGTTGTAATGGTAACCAGTAGGCAACCTCATGTCATTCTCTTCAATAGATTAGTGTGTTAGCTCATTCAATCGTGAACAATCTCATACATGAATAAGCGTTTATTTTTTGTATTATCAACGGTTTCATTTAATTATTTAGATATTCTGAATTGATGTTTATCCCTTTCTAAAACCAATTAGTTACGTATAATCAAATTGAGTTTGACAATTTATTTTTTAATGATAATATTCAAACTTGTTCATTGTTAGTTGTACGATTTGCACATTTTCTAATCCGATTGTTCATAGCACATATAATCTACGCATGGTTAATGATTTTATTATTATTATCTTGAAATTTAATTTAGTTAATTATAACAGAGGATTTATTAAATCGTCTTGTGAATCATACAAATTATCCGAATTTCGAGGCTGATATCCTAGATTTATTAGGTCGACAACCGAATTGGCATAGAATCGCTATTCTTTATTATCTTACTAGATGTTCAGTTAGACATATATTAAATCTACATATAGAAAAGTTGGAAACAATACAAGAGTCAACTTCAAGTTCATCAATGTTACGTCAATCGATAAATATTAATTCAGATAGTGAGGAAATTGATGGAAGTTATTTACAATCATCAGGAAGGTAGGTCGTTTCATAGAAATTAAGTAAATTTGATTATTAAAAGCGTTTGGTGTATAGTTTTTATCCATTTGATTTAGGGAGGTGATCGCAAGCGATCATTCTATGACTGGTATGTTAACAGCAGTTCATAGTTTGATTATTGAGAAGTGCTTTATTCTAGGTTTGATTTTAGTTTTCATTGCGCTTTAACACTGAATATAAAAGGGTAGTTGCTATCATGTTTACCAATAGGATTCATTATTTAGGTATCAAATACACAAAATGTTACCAACGAAATAAGTGCTTGATTGAAGTGATATCAACGTTCCTATGATTGAATGACCCTGAAGACCAGGAAGCGCTGGACAGCTGTTTCTTCCTAGTATTAGGCAGCAAACAGTGCACTTCGATGACCTCATCGAGGATCAAACTCTGGACGTTCATGTCCAGTGGCGATAGCCTAATATTCGGAACACTATATTAGCATCCAATCGTGATGTAAGATTTTAAGTTCAACAATTTCTACAAGCCGCTATACTGGTAATTATTGTGTACTCATAAGTGATAAATTCTGAGATGCGATTCCTAGTCCTCTCGTTAAAAGCAGTGACCATTAGAGTTCAATCACATTGTCTGGCTTTCATCCCGCTCGCGGGACTCTAACCCAGGACCTTCGGTCTCGCATGCGAACGTTTAACCTCTAGAGCATCGAGCCGGTATGCAGCAGTGTTAATATCTAACTTCAATCAAATCACGAAATCGCGCCACCGTCCACCATTGTTTTCACTGAGTCACTGCCTCACAACAGATACAGTTGAACTCCACTGGTCACTGCTTCTCACTAGGACTCCAGGAAATATCTCTTGAAGCCAGTAACTAGTGAGCACATGATGACTACTATAAGATTCAGGGTTCTTGTGGAAATTTTAGTAATTTAATGATTGAATTTATGAATCAATTAAAGCGGGATCGTGAGTGCACACTACTGAGGAGTCCCATATTAGAACGAAACGGCCATCCAGTGCTTCCAGGTTTTCCATGGTGGTCTAGCTTTAGCCGCCCAATGAATCCAACTACTAAATTATCACAATCTTCGCAAAACCATCTTCCTGAAAATGATTAGTGATAGATACGCCCTTTGCATGCACTATGATGCCATTGGTTGAAAGTTATTAGCCAATCAGAGACTATATATATATATATGTTGGGCGGTCCGGCAAATTTTTTGCAAAAGACAAGCAAGCATCAGGAAACACTAAGATCGTTATATGTGAAAATTATATTTGAAATATTCTCAGCGATTGAAATATAACTAATTCCAACGTTTCGTCCAGCTAACTTGTCTGGACTTCTTCAGGGTAATAATCAAAATCAAAATTATCAAAGAAATGTATAGCTTTTAACAATCAGGATTATACTGTGTTAAACCAATCATATTTGGGTGTTGATTTTTTGTAAAATAGGATAAAATGAGTCAGTTGACTACAAATCATGTGATGAATTCAACTACATGGAAATACTTAACTGAGTAACAAATCGTATGTGTGTGAGTGTGTATGTATGTATGTATGTGTGAGAGATTGATATGAAGGAATAAATAAAGTTCAAGTTCAAGGATGAAAAACTTGATAATGAAAGATCGATGTGCATGTCAAAACATAAATTGTATTGTTTAGAAACTCATTCAGTTCTTTTAATAATAATAACGATGCATGTGATATTAAAAACAGGTTTAAACAAGAGATAGGTTCCAAATTTACTTGTCAAACGAAATTTGCCAGGTAGTTGCCATTTGAATACCATCTTTTCGGTTCAGGCTGTTCTTGTTCGCCCATATATGCAAAGCTTCTGCTGTCAATCTTTCTTTATGGGTGTTAAAACCTTTCTGAAGTATTTTGGTCCCTTCAAAATTAATCTTGTGTCCTGTTTCTAACGCATGTAACGCTATCGCTGACTTATTTTCAAGTTTCTTTAAATCTACCGAGGATTTTGGAACATTTTTCAAGCATTGTTTGTGTTCCTTCAATCTTACATTTAATTGCCTGGATGTTTCTCCAACATAGGTAGCATTACAGTCATGACAGTGAATCTCATACACAATGTTCTGTTGTTCTTCCTTTGCTAATTTATCCTTAACTTTCACTAATGTCGATCTTAATGTGTTATTTGCTCTAAAATACACTCTTATATCATGTTTGTTTAGAATCCGTTTGATTTCTTCTGATGTTTCACTCCGGTAAGGTATGACTACGGTGTACTTCCATTCTTTTCGTAGACTTTCTAGTTTAGTTTTTCTTTCATTTTTAATAATCTTTTTTAAAAACCTTTTTGGGTAGTTGTTATCCCTAAGAGTAGAAAACACTTTATTTAATTCGGTTCGTTGGTCTTCCTTGTCTGTAACAATCTTAGTACTTCTGTTCATTAGATTTTTTACCACATTAATTTTCGTGCTCTGTGAATGGGCTGAATTAAAATCCAAGTATCTCTCAGAATGCGTTGATTTTCTGTAGACATTTATTTTTAACTTCTTATTATTGTGTCGACGTTCAACCAGACAATCTAGAAATGCTAGTTTGTGGTCAACTGATTCTAATTCCTTAGTTAGTTTAATGTTTTCAGAAATGCTGTTTGCATTGTTAAATAGTTCTTCCATATCATTCCGTTTATTGATAATAAAAATGTCGTCTACATACCTTAACCATAACTTTGGTGGACATAAACTCTTTGCGATTGCACTAGTTTCTAGGGAATGCATGAATAAATTCGCTACAATCGGAGAAACTGGTGAGCCCATTGCTATACCCTCTTTCTGTCTGTAAAGTTGACCTCGAAATATGAATAAGGTAGATCTTAAACATAATTCCAAGCATTTTATAACCTCTGATGGATCTAATGGGCATCGTAAATTCAAATCTAAATCAGATTCTAAATAATCATTGATAATATCCATAGCTCGACTGATAGGTACATTAGTGAATAAGGAAGATACATCAAAACTTGCCATTATTTCGTCCTCTTCTATATCGATGGTATCAATTAAATTCTTGAATTCCATAGAGTTTTTAATTCCATGATTAATTCGTTTTTCATATGGTTTGAGAATCTTAGCTAAGTATTTAGCTAGATTGTAAGTCGGTGAATTTGTATAGTCTACCACTGGTCTTAGTGGAGTATTATTCTTGTGGATCTTTGGTAGCCCATAAAATCTGCATGGATTGCAACTCTTTGGATATAACATAAACCATAAGGACGATCCTAGCTTAGCTTTTAATGACTGTAAGAGTTTGCTAGTTTGCGCCTTGAGTTTATTAAGAGTTGTTCTACTTTTCGCTTCTTTGATTTGTTCATATGGACCCTCTTGTAGATGTTCTTTGGCTTTGTTCTCATACTCTGTTTTATTCATAATAACTGTAGTATTACCTTTATCTGCTCTCGTTATTATGATCGTTTTGTCCTCTCTCAGCTGTTTTAATGCGTAATATTCATTTTTATTTATGTTAGGGTTGTGAGGTTTCTGATGTAATAATGTGTTCATTATTTTATTCCTCAGTTCATTCGCTGTATCATTCGGGAGTATATTCAGCGCTAGTTCTACTGTTGGTATAACATTGAAAGGTGTTAATTTATGTCTATTTATATTGAAGTTGAGACCCTTTTTGAGTAATGATATTTCATGTGGGTTGAGAGGTCTATCCGATAAATTAACAATTATTTTATTCATATCATTTGTGTTAGATCTATTTTCCGTCTGTTGAACTTTGGTGTTTGATGAATGTTTCAATAGTTTTTCAAACTTCCTAATTTGTCGTTGTTTTGATGATTGATAATAAAATTGTTCTCTATGTGTGAAAAATTCAATTATATATGATCTTATTTCGTTCGGTGCGATAACTGACAATATGTCATCGATATTACAAACCCTTGAACGTAGTGCCTCCAAATTCATAGTGGCCTTGTGTATACGTTCTCTTATAAATGTTCTAGTGGCTGATATCGCCGCTTTGATTGACCGAATAGAATTGTCTGGAGATTTGACCATCAGAGATTTTGGATAAACATTTTGTTTTAAGCATCGTATATTAAAAATTCTGTGATTGTACCAGTTATGTATTTTCTTTGATAATTTAATTCGATTGGAAAATAATTGTTAAAAGCTATACATTTCTTTGATAATTTTGATTTTGATTATTACCCTGAAGAAGTCCAGACAAGTTAGCTGGACGAAACGTTGGAATTAGTTATATTTCAATCGCTGAGAATATTTCAAATATAATTTTCACATATAATGACTTCTCTATACTCGGCGCTCAATTACTGTCAAACTATTCGTTCTAATCTAGACGAATATTCGTATAAACACTAAGATCGTTTCATCCAATCAGTGTTCACTTGAAGTTTTAGCCAAAAATATCAAAGAAGTGAGACGTCACATGTAGAGGTTCTGATTGGTTGATTGCTACACTTCTACTATGTTTAGTAGCATTCCAGAATCTTCTAGCAACCCAAGGACATTTGAAATATCATAAAACCCTGTATTTTCTATATTGAAATGAACCTTGGAGTAAAGTACTTCTCGAATATTTTGAGTCCGCTCTCTCGTTGAGGTCACTGTATAGTTCTAGCTTGAGGGTTACAGAATAGCTTAAGAAACGAATATAGTGTTCAATCCGTAAGACTTTATATATATATATATATATATATATATATATATATATATATATATATATATATATATATATATATACGTTTCTTATCTATCAAAAAATGGAATTCGCTGCTTTAAGGTACTACCGTACAAATAATTTGTATCGCTCCGTAATTTTCAATAAACAGTGATCTTTCAACGAGGGTATTTGAGTTGATGTATTGAGGTTGAATACACCATGCAACTTGGTTGCTAAGTGATGCATCTGTAGTGACTTACATTTATCACGAGAACACGACTGGTTTAATAAAAACAATTATTATTATAACCAAATGTAACAGTGTTTGTTTTAATGTGCTTTTGTTTGACTGCTAATGACAGCTATATCGTGCTTCCATTCTTGTTCTTACACTTCGATTGTAACTTCGCGCGAATTCGGTTACCTTCTGTATCCAAGGTTGTATCCTGGCACGATCTCGGTATCCTTTCGATGCCACGAGATCGCCAGCAAATAAACATCGACTTGGTCCATTAATTGCCTTCTGATATTTGGCTTTTCGGGTATTTTATGGAGTCATTTGGAACGAGCTTCTTGGTAGCAGTGTTCATAGTTAATCCCAACTCGACGCCACGCTACACAGCTTTTGATGCGCTAGATGTTTATGAGAAAGTGACTCCGTTATGTAGATGTCTTTTGTATTTTCAATGTAGAGTAATATCGGTTGGTTTAATGTACTGCTTGGTGGTTTTAATACATGATGAGTCACTATAACTTGTATTTAAACTATTACTCATGTTTCACAGAAGGAAAACAAGAGTAATTGAATATCATCTATGTACATTGTTCTTATCAAGAAAAGTGAAATCGTGAACACCAATACATCAAGAGTAATAGATTCTCAGCTTTTATTTGTAATTATGGAAACACCAACTTTTATAATAATAAACTGAAGAATATTTGTGTTGTGACGAGCCGTGTTCAAAATCTGATACTGAAACACAGTGTGCTATGCGCTAACCCCCCAACTGACTACTTGAACGAGAACACAAGAGTAAGAAAGTATATTGCGCTACCGAATAAAGTGCGTAAATACTCATTTATATTTATACCACTTTAAAACTTTGGAAGCTGATCCATTTCTTAGCTAATAACATGCACTTTATTTTTAGGTCACTTCTGTTTGCCATCAACTGACCTTCTCATTAGGCTACTTCTTGTTGGCTTACCATATTAAGTTGTTATCCGTTTCATAGTTATTCCTTTCTTTGTTTTTTTTTCTGAAATCTTTATTCATACTTATCATGCATCAAGTAAATCACCTCCAAGTAATTTTTATCCATCAAATTCAACATATGAAACAATAATTCGTGATACTGGCCAATGTCGAGCAAATATAGGCCGAATCAAAGATTATACAATTACTTTTTTTACACGTTGGTATGCAGATTGGGTATATAAACGTGGTGGTTGGGTGAGTTTTTATTAATTTCGAAAGAATGTAAACAAATATTATGTACTGCCTTTACAAAAAAAGTAGATATTTCGTTTGTTTAACAAATGACAATAAAAACAACTGACAGTTGTTAAAGACTAAAACAGGACTAATTGGATAGTAGAAAGATATAATGCAATATTCATTCTGTTATCGATATGTAACACTCATTCTCAACATATTTGACTCTACATATCACTACGTCCAATCGGAACTTCTTGAAATCAATCTTGTATAACTACAAAGTTAGGGTAGAAACAAAGAGCAGTTACCACCGTTTTATTTAAAGTTGTTTTAGTAAAAAAATGTTAAAAATTTAATACAGTCCCTTGATAAGCAAAGGTGGATGATGACTAGAAGTGGGATTCAGGACGCGCATTTTGCCTGTCTGGGACTCGTCAGCTGGATATTTACTCCGGATCTCGAACCTAGTACCGTTCACTTCGAACGCCCTTGCGTTATTCACTTAGCTGCTGAGTCCAGATAGCCACCAACTTGTGCAATGGAGTAAAGTTTAATTCATCTAATATACAACACCTAATCCTGATAACCACAATCTTATTACACTAGTCAAAAAGATGTTAACCTGCCATTGTCTACTATTCCATTCACCTGATGATACAAATAACATCATTATAAATTATTGAAATAAGTTTTCAGCATTTGTATTTTTTAAGAAAATTGGTTGTACTTGTTGTTTGGATCTTCGATGTAAGTTAGTTTTAAGACAATCCATATTGTTGAATGTGAATTCAGTTTTGTTTAAAGAAAACCATTTAATAGACAGAAAGTATAATATTCTGTTGTATTTCATCTAAACAAAATTCACTCTTTCTTTGTTTATGTCTTTTCTTTGTTCCCCCCAAAGCAATCTGTAATCGAGGAAACTGAAGATTCTGAGCTAGACTGAATTGTCCATTAATTTAATTAGTATAGATGTTATTTTTTTAACGAACACACAACTCGGTGCTTAATTTTTGTCAAACTATTCGTTCTAATATTGACGAATATTCGTATAGACAACTAGTCAGTATGTGATAAATTATGTGTAGAGTTTATAAACCTACATTTTATACATAAAAAGTAATTTGTTTATGATAACTTCATTTGTATGTCATATATAATATATGTGAGGGACAGAAATGACAATCGATTCATAATCCTTAATTATTATTATTTTTGTTTCCGAAAATTTCTACGTTTATGTAGCAATCATCTTCTTTTTCAAAAATGTAATTTCACTGTATATGCTCCTAAAAACAATATGATAATACAATATATTGTTAGTATGTAAGTAATATATTCGTATATATCGTTTTGTTTGAGATTTTTTCCGTAAACCAACTTAATGTATATATGATAATGCTCAACTTAGTTTTTTTGCTTGACTATATTTTTCTCTGTTTTTTTATAAATCACATTAGAGGTAGTAGCGGGTTAAAAATGAACTGAAGTGATATCAGAAACCATTGTGAACAAAATTATGAGGATATGAAACATAATTAACGAGAGAGGGGAATATTTTCAAGTGCAAAATAAAATAATAATAGTAATAGTTTAAGGCCAAGGTAATGATAATAAAGACATATTTATTTTGTACGTTCAGTTCTGGCTTCAACTTATGAATGGCAAGAGTTACTTCTGTTTTGAGGAGTTTGATACAGAGATCTAGGTAGGTTCGGACGAATTTTACAAACAACATTCAAATCAACCTGTGGATCAGTAGAGTAATAAGGGTCAATTAAATGTTCAAGAATGAAACTTCTAACTACTTTCCTCTTACTCTTGTGCGTACAAAAATAAGTACGTCTTATCGTTACCTTGACTTTAATATTACTTTATTTCGTATTTGGAAATATCCCTCTCGTCAATAATGTCTCATATCCTCATGGTTTTATCCATAATTGTTTCTGATATCACTTAGTTTTAACCCTTCTGTTACCTTTAATTATTGTAACAAAAACATTTCAATTATCTTACTTATAAAACACACTGACTGTTGGTCTGATATATGCTGGAGATGTTTTACGTAATAGCTCAAAATCAGCAATCGCGTGGTGCAGATGCAATAATTTTCTGACTTTGTGCTAAGAAGTGCTCTTCAGAAAAGTATGCCTTTAATCTTGAGAGGACTGATGGTGGATTCAGATCTACGTCTTCTTAAATTCATCTCGTTGTACTATTGTTGTATGGCAACTTGGGCGAAATTAATTTTGTACCAGGCTCCACAGTGATTTTAATTGTCTTACTATGCAAATAACAAGAGTAGAATGTAGTTTAAGATAGATCAAACAGTTTTCATCATGAAGGGAAATAGCCCTGACGACAGGTATCCTTTTATTGCAATAGATATTCTTAGAAATTGGTATACTATTTGATATACTACCTACAAGTAGTACATTTTTTCATGTTGTATTTTTAAAGATGACATCACTTTTATTATATTCCACCGTAGATGATCTTCGGTTGTAAAGTTTGCCTACACTAATGTCGATAAGCTCTTAAGTGCTAAATATCTGTTAAATTGGTATCCAGCTACTCATAGAGTCAAACGATGATTTTGACATTTCGGGATAATGAGGACCGTCTATAGCCTTTATGATATTAATGAATATAGGCACTATCAATTTCAAAACTCAGCATAGGATCAAACTAAATAACTAATCTTTGGGGACTTTGGCTTTAGATTGTAGTTTCAATCACTTTCCATATTTTTCTGCTTGCAATGATGAGCACTTCGGTAGTATTAGCATATATATAAACAAGGAAAATTAGAGCCTTAGTAACAAACTGGACTTTTCGATAATGAAGGGATATTTTCCGTTCTAAATATGCGATCGATCGGCTGAGTTGATTGTGATTGCTCATGAAAACAGACTTATTGATGCGATAAACCCACATGAATGGGCATCAAGATGTATAGCAATCACTCGTTTATTTTTAATGACATAAATGTATGTCAAATTCTAATCACTAAAATAAAGATGGTTATAAGTTACAACATAGGTAATTGTAAGATACGAGTTTTGTTGGTCACTCATTAAGCCATGAATTCGAAATCTGAATATCATGTTCAATTGTCACCTTCCATTATAGAATTGTTCTTATATAACTACTATTTCAAACAATCAGATATGTAACATGTTTGTGTTCACTAATGTATATATTTTACGCAAGAGCTCAGTACTTATTATTATGCATTCAAATTTTTTGTTTCAATAAACCCATCAAATTTGCATTTACAGAATACAGTATAAAACGATCAGTGATTCATTTCACCACTTAGTATAATATTCTAAAAAATGACAAATTTTCTATAAAACTATTAAATCAATTAGGATAGTTCTGCATTCGAGACTTTCCGTGAAGGATTTTTTAATCTTGGAAATCATTCATAAAATTAATTTAGTAAAGCTGACAATTCGAGGCAGTTATATTTTACTCTTCTGAAATTTTATGTCTGATGATAAGAAGCATAGTTGAAGTACGAAATTTTTTATGAAACTAATACCATTTTCATACAGTGTGATATGTTTGTTACTTTGATATTATAATTCTCAACATTTTTGTGACATGCAAATTGAATTAGGATGTTAGTGTTTTATTGTGAGTTTTGATTGTATATGTTTAATTCTTTATTTTACAAACCAATCGTTTATAACCTAGATCGTATGGTTGGAATAGTAAAAAACAACAAATAGTAAAACAAAAAACATGTATTCATATTTAAGTTATCCAGCCAAAATCAATGTTTACAATTTCGGATATTTATTTCAGAAACTGTTCAGACTGTTTCACCATTATCGTCACACATTGCAAAATACTAACCACACACTAGTTTATGAACGCGAGACGTTTAAAATGTACGTTTTAGTTATAGAACAAAGACTTGTTTTACATTAAATGTGTCACAAGGTTATTTTAGTTAACCAATCAAGAAGCTATGTTGCAGGTAGAAAATCACCAATCGTTCATCGATAATGTGGCTATCAATAATCAAATATCATATGATGAAAGGCTTTGATGTCTGGTATAATTATCATTTAGTAGTTGAATTCATGAATCAATTAAGGCTAGACCACCATGGAAAACCTAGTATGGGACTCAGCAGCTCGCGTCCACGACCTCCAAACGGGAACGCTTAACCTTTAAACCACTGAGCCGTCATTCAACGGTGTTAGTCCAACCGTGTCTGTCGTAGAGGCGGTCTGGCTTTATTCGACTCATGAATTCAATTATTAACTTACTACAATCGCCACAAAACCCCAAATTGGATAATGATTATCACTATTGTAACCTCACTTGTCAAGTTGTATATCGATTTAGAAACATTGTTGATAAAAATTAGGCGAACCTGATAGTTGACAATAAACTGGAGACCCACAATTCAATATGATCAATGAACGAAGAGTAATAATTATGCATAATACGTGTTAGGAGATTGCTTCGATTTTCGCTGACTTATGATTGGGTTGATTTATTTAAGACGTGAAAATTAGAGGGTCGACCTTTAATGTAAGAATATAGATAATCATTAGTTGGCCGAGATTCATACTGAGTATTTTCGATATTACAATAAGAAATACTTTGTTGTTAAGTAACTTGGGGTTTAAAATTGTCTATTCTACTTGATAGTTTAATTTCCAGTTTATAGTTGACATCCTAGGAATAAATGTCTTATGAAAATAAGCACTCTAGGTGGTAGTTTAGTGAAAAACGTTTGACCTCATTTAGTGAGTTTAACATGAAGGACTTTCACGTAGCTGATTCATACATTCGATAAATTGTTGCTTACCATTTTAATACAGAGAGAAATTGGTATAGCACCGTCACATAGCCCAGCAAATTTTGTAAATGCAAATATTGTTAAAGCGATAAATTAGACTGAGTTGAATATACACTCAGTCTTTGTTAATTAATAACCTAATAGTTCCTGGTTAAATTTTTTACAGTGAATGAAATACAACTTGTAAAGTAGGCACTTAAAAGCATGTTTATTACCTACTAGAAAACAATCCTCTCATATTGACGGTGATCGAAATACTCATCTTACCAAATTGATTTGAACACATAAATTCTGGTAAAAGGAGGCACCAGATACATATGCGCCACACAAATCTCATTTGATTTGTGTGAGGGCTGTGATACTGCCCGGGTGCCCAGACCGAAGCAGGTAGTTTTCTTGAGGGGGGCACACCTGGAACCTTCGACCTAAAGGTCTGATCCACAAGGCAGTGGAGCATCGTAAGGAGATGCAGTCCCATGGTAGCCGGTGACCAACGGTTGGTTCATACGCCATTTGTTCCCTCAGGGTACTGGGGCCCATGTGACCCACTGGTTTGGAATCAGGGTTTTTCAACTCCCCTAGATGGAGTCCACTAACCCCGTTAAAGCGCCGGAAATTCGCTTTTCGCCATCTCGATTTCGCAAACAACACCCCTGCCACGAGAAGGCAGTGAGTAGGACTTCCCTGGCAAAGACTATATACGCGTAGCCATGTGAGAGCGGACTCCCCCCACTCTCAGCCGTACCAGGGAATTCGGGGGCATCTCAGAAAAAGAAACATGTTTTATTTCTTTTATTCTTATAATACTTGAAAATAGGGCCAGGATAGATAAAAATTGTTTAATCTGATTTCCAGTTATATTCCGAAGGAATGCAGATTCGAAAGTCATATCAGGCCGCTAGACAATATAAGCTCTTGAGAATAACAGAACAAGGAAAAAACAAGTTGGAGTGAAACAGACAAAGCAAAAACGAATGTCTGAGTTCTTTTGTATTACTAAATACTCAGTATTGTATATCAATGTAACTAATTTCCCGTGATTACTATGTATGTGTTTTTAAATTTAGCAAGAGGATCCTAAATCCGATATATGAAGAATATTCTTTTAATCTTAACATAAAATAATTGGAGATTTTTAATGTTAATCAGACAAATGTGATATAGTTTTGATTTTAGTACTGGGAACTGAGCTGTAAACTTCGACAAATTTAATGTTCCAATTAGGATAAACATATTTGGTCATATTGATAACGAACGAAAGAACAGTTAGTTTTTATGCAATATTTATATCATATATTGATATTAAATTGATTGTACATCACAACAATCAACAAAGTTAAGTAAACAACTCAGGAACAATTTGGAAGGAAAACACTAGATACTTTTATCAATTATACCTTTACTTAAATTAAATAAAAGAAATTTCAGCGAATATTAAAATGATACAGACAAATAAGACATTGCGGATTTATAAATATGTTTTTCTAACATTATAAAACACAACGAAAAATTTCAATAATGTTTAAAAAAAAATCAAACAAAACCCTTGGAAACACTTGATAAATAGTTAAATTATGCTGAGTTGTATGTTAGAAAGATTATGTATTTTATCTGTGATACAGAAAGGAAATGTTTAATCTTGTTTAGGTCTTGTCATTGTACCTCGATAGATAATCCCATCTCTTCCAGGATCCATATTCCAGATACCCCAAGAAACGCCCCATACAACTAGAATCAATGCTATGCTAGTCCATAGTGTAATTTGAAATAATTCAGCATAATCATCTCTGATATCTGGAGCTAAATTGAGCTTCTTTACGATTGCGGGATCCTGAAAAACAAGCAAATAAAAAAAGACATGGACTTGGAGTACTAAATGCTATTTACATATTGAAAGACAAATAACACAGTTGAATTTTCCTCATATACTTGATATTTCATGTAGAATTTTAATAAAATACTGAAAAAAATAAACAAGTCTTCTAAGTAGCTTCACATATGTATGCTCAGTTAGTGAGGCTGCGTAATTTATTCGCCTATTTTTCAAACAGAAATATCAGTAAATAATAATAAGGTATGATAGTAATGAGGTAAAGCTATAATATAATCGGCTTTAAATAATACGATTTGTTTGTTAATAGCGCAAAGTGATTGCTAAAACCTGACATGCAAAGCTAAGTCAAATATACGGTAAAAAAAAGTGGTTGAAAGATAAGTTACTAAACTATTAGCCCATTGCTCTAAGGCAACAAAAAAGAAAGCATCTTCAAATGAGTAGTAATTCAGGACATAATAGTCGCTTTTTCAAAGAACAACTTCGAGGAGACAATATCAGAATGCAATGGAATCATGCTATAATAACACTTTGCAACGATAAAGAGGACACTAGTATGTGCGGTATTCAAAAACTAAAAATACTTGATTAGTGTGTATCGTTTACAATTGATCGACGACTTAGTAGTGACCATTGTCTCGACCACCTTGACTTGGTAATTTGAACAGTCAATAACAAACAGCTTTCATTAAAATTACGGAGAGAAAAGATAAAAGAATCACTGGGAAAATTTTATTGACAAAAATTTAAGATCATCATAAATTACAAAAGAAAGCGAACAAACAGATAAAGTTAAAAGGAGATCTTAATTTTGTACATTGAATTATTAAAATATGGAGTAAATTTGTAAAAAATGGGAAACAGTATGAACACTAAGCACAAGGTACATGTAGGTATATCAATCTATGAAGGTTTATGTAAATGAGTCAATGATGAGAAAAAGAGTACATCTATAATATTATCAAGAACCATATGTAGAAGAGATCGATAGAAATCAAATTGATAATTTATGTTTAGCCTCTTCAGAATAAAATAAAACTTAACGATAATATGTCATATAATTATGAGAGTAAGGAAGTAAATAGCATTCTATTTGGAATTGGATTTGATTAATATATTATTATTCTTACTAATTATCCCATCATTATTATTATCATGATCATCACTGACAATGTTAAACAGTAAGTTCTATGATGAATTCCATTTTCATACCGATAGATTGATTCAATTCAATTTGTTTAGTAAATGATTCAATTGAAGTTGGTGGAAAATTAATGAATATATTTGAAAATGGTACAATACACGATCCAATTATATCTAAATAGTGATATAGAGAGAGTAAGATTAAATTAATACAGTGATGCTTTATAAAGTGTCCATAGAATAAATGAACATATATTAAAAAATATAGATATTTATAATAGTACTATTGCATACATAAATTATATTGAAAGTGTAATTAGTTAAAACAGCATAGGACTCAGGGTAAATTTGTGCATTGGCTCAACACAGCGAGATGACATCGATAAGGCGCATAGAAAAAAGAGGTCGGCATAATTGTGCATTGTGCCAGTAATCAAGAAAAAAAGATTAAATATATGAGAATATGATTTGTACAGAGGGAATGAATTTGTGGGATACAAATTACGATACTATGTTGAGATTGAATATCTAAAAGAGCACAAAGGATGAATGTATACGGTTTTCTGGGACTGACTTTGAGAAATGTCTTTACTGACTGATCAAGATTATTGTACAGATTTTAATCAAGAAGTTTATATGACTTAGTCCATGAGTTAATGAGTTTGTAGATTAATCCTGTCTCTATATGATTTGGAGAAATAACAACTAAGTATAAGTTTGTGAGCTAATGATATTATACGCACTAGGTGCAAATATAAAATGTGTAAACCAGCCAGATAAAATTCTACATTCGGTTTTTGTTACGAATTCTTAAAATATGTATTTCTAAACAGTTGCACTAAAATGCTTAATTCAGTGATGTTGATCAACGTTAATTACATTGAAAATCAAAGTTATTAATTTTAAACCAAAGAAGGTTGAAGATATTGATATAAGATGTGGAACAATAAAAATGCGGTCAGTACCAGTTACATAAGGAAAGAAATTTGTCAAAACAACACATAACACAAATGCATATGTAAATAAGTGTTAATGTATAATTGGATAACCTCATATTTAGCAAACGAATAAAAAAACAGGAAGTCCTGGATTTATTAACTGATGGAAGTTATTTGTTCTATCAATCTACCTATCAAAAAAATCTCAATAAACTTTAAATTATTTACCAGCCAGGTATAGACTAGTTTTGAGTGTGAGAACCAGTGATACTATTCAGTTCGCGGAACCAAAGTACATGTGGTGGGGTTTGAGCCCGTAACTGAGTATCTCCAGCGGTACGTTTGAAGTTTGCGCTACAATAACACGTTTTCTATTTTCTATTGTTTGAATATCGTTGAATCCTAGTTTATAACTCATAAATAGCTTTAAAATCTATACTTAAAGCAGTATGGGTCAACTGTCAAAAAAACGGGCCCGGAAAAGCCCTATTACTTCAGATAATAACAATTCTGTTATTACCTATTCCCCATGCTCTGCTACTCCTTTTGAAGCTGATAATGTTGGGAGTGGTCTTACACCACAACTGCTGCTGGATGACTCTGTCTCTAATTTAATAATGAGTTCCAACTCAAGATCAAAAAGTATCGATAATATTAAGAGTGAATTAAAGACGACATACGTTCTAAAGTTGAGTCACTTGCTAGCTCTTTATCAAAGCATGATGATCTGAAACAAGAAATAAAGACATTGTCACCCCTTAAGCTACCTCTGTCAAAAGATATCGTTCCTGCGGAACTTGATGACATCATAAAAGCAGAATCTGTTATCGACTTTATCGCTAATGAAGTTACCAAGCGAATAGTCTCTCGTAATAACGTGATTGTCTAAAATATACCTGACAGAATCCCCATTAAAACTGTAAGGAATTCGATATTAAAAGCATCTAACCTTCAAGACAGTCCATGCCAATGCATTCGACCTAATAAAAAGCACCAGAAATACTCGTGCCCGGTCTTGTTCGACTCTCATATATTGGCTGAACAGTTAAAAGAATCCGAGCGGCTAATCTGCGCGCTTACGAAATTTAGAAACGCTCGTATAGTCTCAGATAAGACCACCAATCAAAGGCTTACGCAAAAACGTACCTTGAACGAAAATAAAGGTGTTGAGATCACAACAAACCACGATGCATCAGCTGCTGGATCCACTGATGCAGCTACCCTATCTCATGTTCTCCAGTACTCTGATATACCAACGAAGAGTGCTAATTTGCCTGTTATGTCTGTAGTGACATCTGATAGCCAATGTACATCTAATGACGCCACTAATCCGATATTACCCAGTTTACCGTTAGAAGCCCATAAGCAAGTACTTAGTTCTAATGCTAAAACTCTTAAAAACACTGTCAAGACTAAAAAACCTATGCCACGTAAGAAGAATGTAAGTACAGAACCTTCTGGTTCTAGACCCAATATCAAAAATATTACGATGACCCTACCAAATAAAAATAAGACTGTACTTCCCGACACCATGCTTTACCTTACGCATCGTAGAGGAGGTCATAAGGGCAGACTTGATTCAAATGTCTCATAAGATGGCCACTGCAATCATTATGTAAGCAGGCCTAATATTGGACAGACCACAGTGAACCAACGCACCCTACGGTTATCCTCAAACGTTTTAAATAACATACTTGTAAGACGTAACTATTCTCAGCACTTCCCCATTGGGCAAGATGGATTACTAGGCTACTCAACATCAACCCAACCCCAACTGGCAGGTGCTTGTCTTAACTGTCCGCCTAGTCAAGTTCGAAAAAAAATTAATCCACTTTATCAAAATAATGATTTTTTTGGCCTTTAGAAATCCCTGGTCCCACTAGCAATACAGTTTGTTCAAGCGATAGCCCATACGATCAGTCAAACATAAAAAACCACAGTCTATGCAAATCCAAAATACATAACATCAATAGGGAAGCTCTCGGTTTTTTACACTCCACACTCCCTTTTTAAACTTATTACTTATAAATGCACGTTCACTTCTGAACAAAATTTCAGCCTTGAGAACATTAGCTTTTCTAGCCAAGCCTTCTTTCATACTTATCACTGAAACATGGTGCTCTCAAGCAGTATCTGATTCAGAATTAAATATCCAGAACTATCTACTCTATCGCTGCGACAGAGAAACTAAGCGAGGAGGTGGTTGGATTATATATGCTTTGGATACCCTAACAACTAATAAAGTTGAAGATAGTGTCCTGAATAGTTTACCAGAATCAGTCTGGATATCAGTCAACACCCTGAATCATAGTCTACACCTTGGATGTATATACAGAGCTCCTGATAGTTCGAATAATGAGAATGATCTTATTATCAATGCATTCATACATGCATCTTCTCTAAACTTTAATGCTAAGGTTATCACTCGGGATTTCAATTATCCTGGGATCAACTGGAGTACCGGTAGTTGTCAGTCATGTAATGATGAGTTCTCGGCAACCATTAACATGCACTGCTGGTCACAGTGGGTTCGTACCCCATCTAGAGGCGATAGTATACTCGATCTAATATTTAGTAGAGATGTTATCCCACTATCTGTGAAAGTATACGATGAATTTGGAAGCAGTGACCATAAGATAGTAGTTTGCGCTCTCCCTATCTATCCCTCTTATAACCGACCCATTCAAAAAACTTGTCAATATAGAGACTATAAGCATGCTGACTGGGACCTCCTGCATTCATTGATTAAACTTTCAGACTGGGATAACTTTTTTTCATGTAATAGTCTCATGGATGCTATCGACGAATTCTATCTGATTGTTAACTCTTGTTCAGATTCCTGTGTACCTCTTAAAACATACAGGTTTAGTAAACCTTACGAATTATATATACCAGCTAGATATCGTAACAAACTAAGACGCCTACAAAATCGTTATTTTAAGTCAAACGACTTCACAGTAGTTGCACAAATAAAAATAATTTTTAATCAAATTAAAGAGAAACATAGACTTAAAGCCATTAATGAGGAGCTGCTAGCACTTAATACTAACTCGAAAGCACAAAAATTAACTCTCCTTTTCAATAAACGCGCTAAAGCAACTCGAAATGTTGATATACCGTGCATCCAGCATAATAACACTTTTATATACGACTCTAAAACCATAGCCGACCTTTTCAGTAGTATTTTTGCGAATGGTGTAGAAATCATAAGTGGCTCTGCTTCAAGAGTTATGTGTGTGGCTAGCAACTCAATAAAATCTATCTCCTTCACATGCATGAAAATTAATAAGGCTATAAATACCCTTAAGATTTCGAGAGGTCATGGAGTAGAACGGATTTCATCCTTTCTCTACAAATATGGTGGTCCAGATACTCCACTTCTTCTTCTAAAGCTGTTTACTCTCTCTATGGAAACCGGTTCTTACCCTTACTGTTGGGAAACCACATACATCATACCACGTTACAAATCTGGAGATAAGACTGACATGAACAATTACCGGCCAATAAATATTACTCCAGTTATTTCTAGGATTATGGAAAAAATTATAAGTGATGAACTTTCCAACTATTTACTTGCTGGAAAATTTATCAATGATACTCAACATGGACTTCTTAAAAATCGTTCTTGCATGACATGTCATTTTGATTTCTTTAATTTAGTCTATTCTCTACGTAGCCAAGGATATCTAGTCTTAGTGCTATATTTGGACATTTCTAAAGCCTTTGACATGGTTAGCCACCAACTTCTTACAGGTAAACTCGCATCTTGTGGGGTTCAAAATCCTTTGCTTGCTTGGTTTGATTCCTTTCCCAGCAATCGATATCAAATAGTTAAAATTAACTCTTCATTGTCTAACGCTGTCCCTGTTAGAAATGGTGTAATACAAGGTAGTGTCTTAGGTCCTTTGCTCTTTTTAGTGTTTATTAATGATATTTGTGAAAGTTTTTGTATCAGTAAGCCCCTTCTATATGCAGATGATCTTAAAGTAGTAGATTCATTTTCTCCACATGAGCTGAAAAATATGCAAAATTGCATCAGCATGGAGCTTACAAAGGTAGCACAGTGGTGCTTAAAATGGCGACTGGAGCTTAATACGGCTAAATGTGGATGGATATGCTTCGGCGATACATCACTGAACCTAGACATTACCATAAATGGAGAAGTGTTATCTAGGTTACATACAGTAGTAGACTTAGGACTTAGATATTCCCAAGACTTGTCGTTTACAGAACATATATTAAAACAGACCTTTAAGTCTCAACGTCTAATAGGTTACATAACTCAAAATCTTTACAACAATGAGTCACGTATTCTAATGTACAAAGTTTGTGCTCAACCTCTTCTAGAATATTGCACGTTTATTCTTAGCAGTGCGCTCATAAAGGATAAATTAAGGCTGGAATCAGTACAGAGACGATTTACACTTCGTATTCTTGGAGCTGATTGTACCTTAATTTATAATTCTAGATGTAATAAACTTGGGCTAGATCCTTTATGGAGGAGGAGACTCAAACGAAATCTTTTCTTTTTCTTCAAACTACTTCATAAACTATCATTTACGTCTTATCACGCGATTCAATATGCAGAAACTTCTTATTATGACATCCGTAATTCCTTGGCACTAGTGAAACAAACTCATCCTAAATCATCTCTTTATATGAATTACTTCATCTGTAAATTTTCTAGACTATGGTATAACCTACCACAATCTATCCGCACGATAAAATCACTCCCATTATTTGTTCGCTGCATCGATGCATACTGCGCCTCTGAAAATGCATTGAATGGTCTAGCACCTGCAAGTGTATCTCATTCCACAAGTGATATTTTAGGAACTTTAAATGTTTAGCCATCTTTATTAGTGAATCCCCTAAGTGAAACCACCCACTTGCTGTCAATATGTTAACACCGTCCCTAGCAAGTTTAACTAATTTGAATAACATATACAGTATATCACTGTGTCACATGACACACGCATTTAGGTAGACCTGATTCATATATTTTGGTAATTACTGCTTTGTTTTTCCGTGCTCTGTGTTCTCGTTTTGATTGCTCTAGTTGTAGATAATTATCATTAATTCGATCTGGCACACGAATTGACCTTAATTACTCCGTTAATAAATCAACAGGCTGTCCATTTAAAAAATATTAAAAATTCCCGGCTGATGCATTGGATTGCTGTAATATATGTACCACTTAAACAACTATTGAACTAGTATACTTAAAACTTTCTTTTATCACATGTTTGTTCTGTACGTCTAGCGTTACTGTTTATATCAAATTGATCATGCCTGTAAACTGGCGTGAATTCTGTAATTATTATTTTCAGAATATAAATTATTATTATTATTATTATTAAGAGTCAAACGCTTTAACTGATAAACTACTCACTTAAGCAACTACCAACTTATAAAAGCAGTAAAAAGTAGTAACTAAAAATTCCATTAAAAGGACATGAAAAGAGCCTTATTTTACCACACAATAAAAGTTTTGATTAAATAATAATATGTGATGTGTGAATACACATATTGATTAGCATACAGAACAGCAAAACAAAACCACCTACTTGAATTAATAAATGGTAACGATTTGAAAGCAGTGATATGTAAACACTTCTCTAAAGATTCTGGTATCAGAAAATTCAACGTTTCAGAAGTTTTAAATTCTATTAATGATTGATTAGCAAATATTTGACAAAATTTCCACATTTGATCAGTAATACTGATCTTGAAGTGAACTTCAAATTGATCTGAAATGAAATAAATGTAGAAAAAAACAACAGATTAACATAATATATGTATCTAAATTATTAATAAGACAAAAGAAGTGTTTTGTTTAATGAATTATTGAAGTGATAAAATGATGAATAGTCTTCTATGTGGCAACATTTTTAAACTGTACGAAAAACACACTGAAATAAAATGAAAAAAGGGTGAAACTAACCAAAATATGAATAATATTTACGGTTATTTATTTTTTAAAACAAAAATATGTACAGTAGCTCATAGAGTGCATTTAACTCAGAGACAATTAATTCAGATGAAAATAAAGAAGTTCAATAGTTATAATTAACAAATAGATAAGTGGATATCTACAATGGTATTAAGTTGCCAAAATATGTGCTTTGGTTTTTTATAAAACAAGATTTGATACATATTGGACATTTCTTTTGCTAACTAGATTCTGAGAATTCAGCAACTGTGATAATCTACCAAGAGACATCCCAAGGGGCTGGTATTTTGTAAATGTGCTTCACATACTTTTTGTTTTGGTAAGAACAAATAAATTTGAGTGTTTAGATCTAAAGCTTCAAAGACTGAGTTAGTGTATTTTATAATTTAGAGCATGAGGTTTAATAGTTTATAAGTGATAATTACCAAGAATACAAATGAGTGTCAATAAGATCAGTAAACTTTACACATCTTCAAGTCTACATCAAGAAAATGGTACTATACAACTTCAAATTTGGAAAATAGTCGAGCGAATAATAAATTGTAATGTATTCGAAATAAGATTAGATAGATATCCTGATTTGCCATGAACGTCGAATGCTGAAATAACCTTAGTTGATAAACCATCCTGTCATAACTTGGGAAAGCTAAATCACATGGCCGCGGACACTTGTTCGACTGTTTAACCAAGATTAGTACAAATACAAACCTGGATGAAGTAATGTAAAATATAAATTTAGTCAAATATACATGATGCATCAGATGTGCTATCTGTCTCCTCTCACCAGTCAGACACAGCATAGATTGTTAAGTTACATTACATTTTTTAGAAATATCGCAAATACCGCGCAAATTACAAGCAAAAAAACAGTTATGGGTTATACCAGCTGGGTGATTGTGAGAAGACTATGTAGTGGAACAGTGATTATTGGAAAGGGCTTATTTGAAAAATATCGGATTACTCTTCATAAACATTATGAGATACCTTGTGAGTTAGTGCAAACTTTTGAAACCGTAAACAGTAAATGTTGTGGGTATTCCTTTTTCAATGCTTTAAATAAAAGTGTAAAAGAAAAAGAAAACATCAAAAATGAGGATAACTCAGTATTTAGAGAATAAATGTTAGCAAGGAATCATTGGAAGGAAACAAAAACTTATAGGTGGGTTCGGATTGTCTAATGGTGGCGGGAAAGTTAATCAAGTCTAGAGTTAATCAATATGAGGTATACTATTCAATTTACTGGATTAGTATCACTACTATTATTAATATTAGTAATGTTAGGGTTAGATATAGATAGTACGTCCGAAATATCTGCCTGATTTTCGAATAGAACAATTTGAACACAGCATAGGATTGATCCAGATCTCAATGAACAGTCAAACAGATTAGTATGACGTTATCCGTCACGCTTTCAATGATGAGGTAATATGTTATACGAGGCGTTTTCAGTGATTTTCCCATTCGTTTAAGGGATGAGTACTAGATACTAAAATATAATTACATCAAAGATTTCATTTTAAGCGTCTGGAGTCATGCACAGTTGTCTGCTATGGATGTCAGTATAACGTAGCCGAAAATCCAGAATCAACACATACAAACAGATTGAAAACTAGAGCTTGAAATGAAATCACTAATGAAAACTATACTCTGATATGCATGAGTCACTCACTTGGTAGGGGAAAAAACGGACGAAAGTGCTGGACATAAAACATTATTATAACGATGAGAATGCGACAGATAACGTCAGCTACAAGCTGTCACATAGGCGACAGCCAATGAAAATTATTTGGTTTATTTATGCATATTAAGTTGACATGTCTATCAATTTCTTTATTCAATATATTATTGACTAACACCTACGCAACAAATGGACGCGAAGTAGGTATTTTACATTGTTTCTAAAACTAGATCTGAATCGTGAAAAGAAACAGATTAATTGACGAAGTTGATCAGAAAATAACTAATCATTTATTTGACCAAACTAAAGAATATGACCATAATTTTGAATGTCAGAAAGGAAATACAAGTAAATGGGGGGGTAGAAAAATAACCTTGAATATCAACATTGAACAAATATGAATATCTATAACGAATGATGGTTTTAAATTTCATAAGCTATTAATTTTCACCACAATATGATTTAATATGTGTACTATTTTCCTTAATTAGGAACGGAAAATTCAACAGACCTTGAAATGAATATCTGTTTGATGTGTAAGGTTCCAACGGAAATAAATGTTAACTTATTGGGATTCGAGTCCTGAGGTTCGTAAACTTTATTAGTATTCGATCTTGATATAGTCGAACATATTTAACTCCATTGAATAACACAGGGACAGCTTGTGTTAATGATACTAATTAGGTTTTAGTGATTAAAAATGATGAGGGTTTTATGTGATGGAGGCGGTCAAAGTTAGTATAACTACTTTAGGTTGGGGAACAAAGCATTATCCCTAGATCACATAATTAGAGTGTGACGGAGGCCAAGTAGACGAATTTGTACTTGATAGTTTAGAACGAGTTATGTAAAATAATGATGAAAACGAAACAAATTTTAAGTTCAGCAAAACAATCCAATACATGACGGAATATGTCAACGAAAAATTCTAACACTTATTGGTCAAACTGAGACTCGCGAAAGTGAGAAAAAGAGTATGCGTTTAAATGACTACGTTAGATGTGTTAAGGCTAGTAATTATGTTACGTAATATTAAAAAAGCCATATAGAAGATTTAACTTACATGGTGAATAAGAATGTGAATTAGACAAATTGCTTTCAGCTTTAATTTGATCTCTCAAAATTAATACCCAAAGATCACTATGTGATTTATATGCAAAAAAAAGAAATAATAAGAGGATGTTTGTACACACGCGTAAAGATAATTTACTAATTCTGTATTTAGGTTAATATCATTACTGATCTGTTGGAAATGCTATCATTTCCAGTTGACATCTTTAACTTCAGTAAACTTTCGAAATAATCTAAGTAAAATCAGTTCATAATGTAAAGCTACAAAGTCTAAACATCTGCACAACCGTCTATACTGAAATATCCTTACACACTTACTAGGGAACAATTTCAAGAGGTGAGAAACTATGACAATTGGTGTTCAATAGTATCAGGTCTGGACAAATTTCACCAATTAATGAATAATGGACACAAAATATCCCTAGCATATTCAAGTTAAAAATGCAAAGCATCGGATGTCAATTCAGTTAAGCAGTTATGATGTGTGAAGCCTGAAGGTCCTGGGTCCAATACCTTTCAGGATCATGAATATGCAACTCCAGAGGAGTCCCACATTACGACAAAACAGTTGTCTAAAGATTCCTGGTTTACAATGGTTGTTAAAAGTCCGTGATGTAAAACTACGAAATGACACCAGTGTTCAAACTTCAGGAGTAAAACGTTTTAGACCATAAAATTTATCTTACTGAGATTACAACGATTCCAGATGTTAAGAGGATCATCGATTTATATCAGATTACTGATCTGGTAAGAATTAAGACTTGATGACCAGGGTTAATATAAAATGACCTCATAAGTTACACATACACTTGACAAAAAAACTCTTAGTGAAAATATGATCCGAGTCCGATGTTTTCGACTGGCTACCATCAAAACAAATAACAGCACAGTGTATAAACTAAATAAAAGTTATAAAATTACCAAATTTCATTCGATGGAGCCTTTAAAGTTACTACAGGTTGCCAAGAATTTCTTCGTTTAAATAATGAGAATACATTTGTCGTTGAATATTTTACAATTTCAGATTGACGTCTAATATTAATATTGGGATTTTCAATTGATTCAGCTAATGTAGAAGTGGATACTGATCGTACAAGTTCATCATTTGTAGATTTGTTGTATGGTGCTGATTGAGGTGTTATTGAATAACTACTAAAAACTGAAGATGTTGATTCAGTACTTTGTCTGAATGAACCTTTAAATACATATATCTAAACGAATTACAAA